GTATTATTCCAACACACATGTTCATTCTGTTAGTCCGTGGTATATTCAGTAATTTTCACCAACACCAGAATTCAGAAGCATCAATTAGTCTTTGGTCTTCTTTATTCATTGTCCAGCTTTTAATGCACATCAAGCAATTAAAAGCACCTCATACTTTCACTGAGTATAAATTGCATTGAAACAAACAAACAGCTTTCTACCATGGAGTTGATGCCAACTCACAGCGACCCCACAGGACAGAGCAGACCTGCCCCTGTGAGTTTCTGAGACTAAATCTACAGGAGTAGAAAGGCCGGTCTCTCTCCTAAGGAGCAGCTGGGTTTTCTAATTGCTGATTTTGGAGTTAGTAGCCCAGCAGTCCACATCCAAGTACCATTTTAAAGCATCTGCCCTTGAGGTAACGAAAACCAAAGCCAGCCCCCCTGCCATTGAGTTGATTCTCACTCATGGTGGCCCTGCAAAGGGCTTCTGAGGCTGTACTTTACTGGTGCCAACAGCCTCATCTTTCTCCCGTGGACTGTCTTAGGAGTTTGGATTGCAAACCTTGAGGTTACCTGACAATGCCACTGGTGTGCCTTAGTATTCCCATTTAATTGATGAAGACATAGATTCAGAGAAGTTTATTCCCTGGAAAAAACCCCGGCGTGATTTCTGGTGCAGCATTCTTTACATGACAACAAGGTGTTCGGCACCTCAGCATCTTTTCATCCGAAGGAGCATGGTCAGGAGGTGGGTCGTGGAAATCTGCTGACGTCCGTGGACTGTGCTCTGTCCCCGCTTGTTGAGTGCTGTCAGGGCCCCAGAGGACACCCTGTAAGGTTCCCAGTGTAACCTTCCCAGGAGCAGAGTACTAAGGCCTTGCCCCCTACTGAGCAGCTAGTGGTTTCAAACCAGCAACTTTTGGTCTAGCTGTTGAGTTGACTCGCTGGGCCACCGGCATTCCTTCTAAATCTAAAAGTATGTCATCTAGTGTTTATGCTAAAACAAGACAGAAAAAAATACCCTCTCTTGCCTATGTTATTAGATGCCATCAAGTCAGTTCCGACCCATAGCGACTGTACGCACAGCAGAAGGAAACACAGCCCGGTCCTGCACCATCCTCACCATGGTTCCCATGCTTGAGCCCATTGATGCAGCCCTGGTGTCA